GGCAAGCCACACTGGCCGTGTAAGGGACCCCTTGTGGCCGTGTGGAAAGTCCTGGGATCTCACACGGGCAGCCTGGAAATCCAAACGGTCGTGTGGTTTTGGCCGTGTAGCGTACCTAAAGCCACTTAACTGAAACGCGGTGTTTTGCACACTCACACGGGCAGCTGGGAAAGCCACACGGCCGTGTGGTCGGGAATTTCTGGGTTTTAACCCAATTTCGAGCCAAAGGAGAGAGAATCGACTTATTGGAGAAAAAACAGAGCCCTAGAGAGAGAAAGTGCGAAGAACACATCCTAGAAGTGATTTTGGAGCTGGGTTTCATCAATCGAGCTTGGAGATCATCATCCCAGGGCAGATTCTTTCCATTGTTATGAGTATGACTGATTTGTATTCTGTTTCCCTCTCTCTCTCTCTCTCTCTCTCTCTCTCTATGGAGTATAACTCTCTCTCACTTAGGTATGAAGAACCCTAGTTCCATGTGTTAGGAATCTTGATTGTAATTACGTTTGGATTGTGATATTGCTTGATCATAATCGATTGAAGTGTTTTGATTGAGCCAATTGAAGTCTGATCATCTTTCATTGATTTCTGCTGCAACCTGAGATAGATAAAATATGATTAGGTTGTTTTAGCTTCTTCAATCGGTAGTAGTGAATCGATTATACGAGAGTTAGTCGATTCAATGCTTTGTACTGGAATCTAATTCTAATAGTGGAGTTCTGTGTTCATTGCCTCAGTGTTCTATCCCGGTGAAGACTAGCCGTCTGCCGGGTAGTTTGACTGAGAGGGCTTGGTCAGCTTAAGAGATTCCAAGCTACTGTCGGATCTTCCGCAGTATAATCAGCAGTAAAGCAACCAAAAGTAATTACAACTGTGACTTAACTAAGGAGCTAGGGGGACTCATTCCCGAGTGACTCTTCCTTTGCTTTAGAAAACCGAACCATTTCCTGTTTTCTTACTGCTTTTGCTTAAATAAAAAATCACTCTACTTAGTTTGCTAGATAACAGATATACACGGAGTAGGCAGTAGATCTAGACCCCGGGTTGACAATTAGAGCTTGCCTGTTACTGCATTTCCGGACTGCGATTACACTTGGTCGCAGTTTGGTGTTGTGTTTTAGCGTGTCAGCTGCCTTTTGTTTTCTTCGGACTGTCTGTTTGTTCTTTTGTTTCTTTTGATTTGATTTAATTTATTTCACCATTATAAAAAAAAAGTTATAGAAACTTAGACGACACTACAACAAAATTTTCCGATAGTGTCTTTTTTCATCTTTAGGTACGTATTACAATCTTGATACCTTCAAACTACATCTACAAACACGTACACTAGTCGCTTTCCTTCATCTTTCACCGTAATATTGTAAGAAAATATGTGGGTATGAAACAATAATCATAAAGACATTATTGCCAAGTAACAACCCACTAAGAGGGAGAGGGGTAAACCCTTTATTTTTGGATGGGCAATCATGTCAACAAGCAAAAAAGCTTGTGATGAACAAGATCTCTATTGTAGATCACTCAAACAGCGCACAAACTGGGGATGGATATGATCATCTTCTCTATTATGGCCCATCTCTCACTCACTAGCTTGATCCGCTCCTTCACTACTTCTTTCACTTGTCAATTATTAGTATCCATCCACAACCAAGCCGATAAAAGGAAGAACACACCCACAAGCCAAGTCTTTTTTTATAAAGATTAACCCATCATTGTGCGAATAAAAGTTGGTCTAGTGCAGTGGCGGAGCCAGAATTGTTGGAGAGGTGTGTGGCCGATGAAATAAAATAAATTTTAAAATTTAGGGTTAATATTTTTGTGTGGCATGAACTTTGACCAAAATAAACATCCTGACCAATTTTTTCGATCTATAACATTTTGGCCCGAACTATACATCAAAATAAACAATTTGGCCAGATCCGACTTTTGACCGTTAACTTGGACGGTCAAAAGCGTTGACTAACAGTCAACGCGCCATGTCACTGCCAACTCAGCAAATTTCAATTTTTTTTTAATTTACACCTATTTCCATTTTCTTTTCTTTATCATTTTGAACGGAAAAAAATAAAACAAATTTCCAATTTCGGGGCAAATTTTTTTTTATTATCATTTTTTTAAAACATTTTTTTAATTTAAAAATGATCGTTCCTTTCTTTTTCAATTTCGGGACAAAAAAAAACAAATTATCATTTTGAATTGAAAATTTGTTTTTTTTTTCTTTCAAAATGATAAAGGAAAGAAAATGGAAATATGTGTAAATTTTAAAAAAAATAATTGAAATTTGCTGAGTTGGCAGTGACATGGCGCGTTGACCGTCCAAGTTAACTGTCAAAAGTCGGATCTGGCCAAATTATTTATTTTGATGTATAGTTCTGGCCAGGATGTTATAGATCGAAAAGATTGGCCAGGATGTTTATTTTTGTCAAAGTTCAGGCCATACAAAAATATTAACCCTAAAATTTAATTGAAATTACTAGAAATTCATTTATAAAGTTCATAATGTCATGTTTACAACGAACCACAATGACTTTTTATGTCATGAAATGTCTGTAAAATACATTCATCGCTTATGTTGCGAAACAAATCTTTTTCGATATACACAACTAAACAATTCTTCATAAATTGGTCACTCAACCGATTGCGAAGTTCATTCTTGATTATCTTCATAGCTGAAAATGCTCTTTCGCACCTTGTGATTTCAACAAGTAATGTCAACACCAACTTCAAGAGCAAGTAAACTAAAGTATAAAAGAAAAGGGGTTGTGGCAATGGATCTCGATAATTAGAAACTAAAAAGAGGTAAGGATGAGTTTTTTATTTTTTTATTTTTATTTTCAACAAAGAAAGGGTCAAGGAGTGGAAACAGTGAGTTTCAAAGGATGGGGTTAGTTATACTTTTTTCATTGTTGGGTTGTGGTGTGAGTTACTTTAAAACAAGCATATTTATTTAATTTTACTTATTATTGTTTATTACTAATTAAGATAAATAAATTTATAACAAGAAAATTATTCTCGTACAATGAAAGTGTGTCGCCCACAATTAGTTGAGGTGTGTCGGAAGTTCCAAATTACAAAAATTTGTACAAAAAATATAGATAATTCACAAAATTTCCAAGCGAGAATGTGTAGGACAATACACCCTGCCCCTTTCTAGATCCGCTCCTGGTCTAAGATAATATAAATTATCTTGAATTTGGAGGTCTCGGGTACGTAACTATCATTGCTTCCCTTCCCCACCGCAAGGCTCTCGCCGAATGGGCCGACAGCAATATTGATTTCATAGTAATTCCATGGATTCTAGCTACTACAGGGAATAAGAGGAGAAATATTAAGATGAAAATGTTATCCTTCTAGGACCTTTGTTGTGTTTTCTTTTCTCCCTCTTAACACTTCTTTGTCTTTGGGGTTTGCTATAGATTAGCTAGGACCACTGTTGCCTAAAGTGAAACCAAGCATCCATTAACGGATTGGTTTTTATTATTATTAGCTGATGAATACATCCATGTGAGTGGAGATGTATGGATGGTCCTTTTCTCCAATACTCATGTTAAGGAATCTAACTTGGAAATGGGTTTATGAAAGAGCACGGATCTAGGTGTGCGATTGAGGATCGTGATTGATATGAGAATTAGGAATTTGGGTGAGGTAGAATTGGGAATTAGGATTGAGAGAAGAGGATTCCGGTCACCGGGGAGGTGGCCGACGGGTTGGAGAGGGAGAGAGGGTGCTCGGCTATGAGAGAAGGAGAGAGAGTGAGTAGGGAATAATTCTGTTGTTATTGCTTAACCCTAACTTAGGCCTAACACAGAATATATATAAACCGACTAATTCCCTATAGCTACCCAAAGACTTAACCTAACCGATTTAACCCCAATCATTCCCGAAATAGCCGACATAACATAAAACGTCTAAATAATAAATAAACCCCCAATTAATGACTATCTAACATCCCATCCCCCTTGAAACCCACCTTGCCCTGAAGGTGGACCTTCTTTCTTCTCTTCCGCTTCTCGCACCTCCATCTCCTCTCCTTTCTCTTCCCAGTTCCCGACCAGCAGCATTAGATGACCCTTGGCGCATTGCTGCCCCACCGTGTACCTTTCGTCGTAGTTGAAGCAACGACCGTCTCTACGCTTCTGGTCCATTTCCGCCTGAGTCAGCCGGACAAACCCCTTTGGTGGTAGCCTTGTCTTGAACCTGTTACCCGATGCTGCTCCAATGGCCGTCGGGCTTGCATTTCCCGACGACGGTGTGGTACCAGCTCATGCTCTCATTCCTCCACTTTCTTTCTGGATACGCCCAACCGACGTCCTCCAACTAGCCAACTCCTCTTCCTTGCGCCCTGCAATCCTGAAAGCAACTCGGAGAGAGTCCAGTTCGAAAACCTTAACGGCTATTGCCAGCTCAGGACGGAGCCCCTCCATACACAATCCCACCAGAGTCTCATCTGTCATTTCCTTGCACTGATTTCCCAGCTTAAGGAAATCCGCGCGATACTCGGCCACCGACCCAGTCTGTCTGAGCTTGGCCAGCTATTCCAGAGCCCAAGCCTCTGCCTTGCCAAACTGGTAGCGCAACTAATCCTGGAACTTGGGCCATGATATGATCTCACCGGCCGTTGCATAAGCTCGCTCGGTCCATCCCACCATTGGAGGGCATCTCCCTCAAGATAGAAGGCCGCCAGGTGCGCCTTCCGTTCTTCCCGGATTGGATGGTTCCTGAACCACCTCTCAGCTGCATACAACCACAAACCTACATCTCCCGAGCCGTCGAACTTGGGAAACTCTATCACTGGCGGTTTAGCTTTAAATACCAATTCCTCTTCAGTCTCATACAGAGGGTTAATGTATTCATACATGCCTGTGTTCGGCGGTGGCGGTCGGTTCACCGGGCCCTGATGGTAGTTGCTGCCCGCGGCTCCTTGCTGGGGAGGATAGGGCCAGTCGCCTGTCACCTCCTGGTAGTTCCCCCCGTACTCAGGGTTGGTCCCAGATCCTTGCCCAATGTCCCGACAGCCTCGACCTCGGCCTCCTACTGCTCGCAGCGTACTCCACGCAGGTACCCGTACTCCTGGCCCCTGCCGAGACCCCTGCCCGGCCCGCTCCAGCTGCTATCCACCGGTGATTAACCCGACCCGGTCCGGTTCGATCCGGTCCTATCGATTGACCACACCGTGGCCGGCCCAGTTTGGCCCGACTTCGGGTCCACCATCCCGCCCCATCAGGCCTCCTCTGGACTCGGGTCCACCCAGCCCTCTAGGTCAGCAAGCTCAGCTCCTCCTCCTCCTCTGGCCCAATCGGCTATGGTTCTTCTCCGTCGGGCCCAATCGGTCACGGCTCTCCTTTGAACCCCGACCATCTTCTGTTTTCCCCGGGCCTTGTCATGGGCCGGGTCCGTCGGCGTCGGCAGCAAACCCGGTCCGCTGAAAACCGCTGCTGGAGCGCTCCTCGCGCCTTGATTTCCCGATTACCCGACGCGGCTGCGCGTCATGGCCGAGCTTCCCGGCGCACCGCCTGTTGTGGTCAAGACTCGCGCCGCCCCAGCCTCACCACCACCGCCCGGCGGCTTCTCCTCCGCCTCCTCCTCCTCCTCCCGGCGCTCCATCACCGCCGTGCGCCCAGCCCCCGCGCCGCCGCGAGGCAGCTCCTCCTTGCTCGCGGCCGTCGCCTCCCTCCTGGGCCGCCGCCCGCGCTGCGGCTACTGCTGCCAGTGTCGGCCCCATGGCAGTGCTCGCCGGCGGCTCCCGGTTCCTCGGAACCTGGGTTAGCACCTCCTGCATTGTCGCTGCTAAGGCTCCGCAGATGTTTTCAGCCACGCTCTTGCCCATCTCTTCGATGGAAGCCTTGATCTGGTCGCCCATAGCTTCGATTGCCCCGATCGAGCCCTTCGAGGCCTCAGTTGCCCTCACAGTAACCTTCGTCAGGCTCTCCAACGATGCTGCCATGGCGTCATATTTGCTCGTCGTCACATCCTGGACCGTCACAACCTCCATATTCTGGCGCGACGACAACTGCTTGTCCGTAGGGTTCGACATCTTCGGAGTGCAGTATTTCTTCAGAGAATCGGCACACCAACCAGGCTCTGATACCACTGAAAGAGCACGAATCTAGGTGTGCGATTGGGGATCGTGATTGATATGAGAATTAGGGATTTGGGTGAGGTAGAATTTGGGAATTAGGGTTGGGAGAAGAGGATCCCGGCCATCGGGGAGGTGGATGACGGGTTGGAGAAGGAGAGAGGGGGCTCGGCAATGAGAGAGGGAGAGAGAGTGAGTAGGGAATAATTCTATTGTTATTGCTTAACCCTAACTTAGGCCTGACACAGAATATATATAAACCGACTAATTCCCTATAGCTACCCAAAGACTTAACCTAACCGATTTAACCCCAATAATTCCCGAAATAGCCGACATAACATAAAACGTCTAAATAATAAATAAACCACTAACTAATGACTATCTAACATCCCATCCCCCTTGAAACCCACCTTGCCCTTAAGGTGGACCTTCTTTCTTCTCTTCCTTCTTCTCTTCCGCTTCTCGCACCTCCATCTCCTCTGCTTCCTCTTCCCAGTTCCCGACCAACAGCATTAGATGACCCTTAGCGCATTGGTGCCCCACCGTGTACCTTTCGTCGTAGTTGAAGCAACGACCGTCTCTGCGCTTCTGGTCCATTTCCGCCTGAGTCAGCAGGACAAACCCCTTTGGTGGCAGTCTTGTCTTGAACCTATTACCCGATGCTGCTCCAATGGCCGCCGGGCTTGCATTTCCCGACGACAGTGTGGTACCAGCTCATCCTCTCATTCCTCCACTGTCTTTCTGGATATGCCCAGCCGACGTCCTCCAACTAGCCAACTCCTCTTCCTTGTGCCCTGCAATCCTGAAAGCAACTCGGATAGAGTCCGGTTCGAAAACCTTAACGGCTGTTGCTAGCTCAGGACGGAGCCCCACCATACACAATCCCACCAGAGTCTCCTCTGTCATTTCCTTGCACTGATTTCCCAGCTTAAGGAAATCCGCGCCATACTCGGCCACCGACCCAGTCTGTCTGAGCTTGGCCAGCTATTCCGGAACCCAACCCTCTGCCTTGCCAAACTGGTAGCGCAGATCATCCTGGAACTTGGGCCATGATATGATCTCACCGGCCGCTGCATAAGCTCGCTTGGTCCATCCCACCATTGGAGGGCATCTCCCTCAAGATAGAAGGACGCCAGGTGAGCCTTCCGTTCTTCCCGGATTGGATGGTTCCTGAACCACCTCTCAGCTGCATACAACCACAAACCTACATCTCCCGAGCCGTCGAACTTGGATAACTCTATCACTGGCGGTTTAGCCTTAAATACCAATTCCTCTTCAGTCTCATACAGAGGGTTAATGTATTCATACATGCCTGTGTTAGGCGGTGGCGGTCGGTTCACCGGGCCCTGATGGTAGTAGCTGCCCGCGGCTCCCTGTAGGGGAGGATAGGGCCAGTCGCCCGTCACCTCCTGGTGGTTCCCCCGTACTCAGGGTTGGTCCCAGATCCTTGCCCAATGTCCCGACAGCCTCGACCTCGGCCTCATACTGCTCGCAGCATACTCCACGCGGGGTACCCATTCTCTTGGCCCCTGCCGGGGACCCCTCCCGGCCCGCTCCAGCTGCTATCCACCGGTGGTTAACCCGACCCGGTTTGGTTCGATCCGGTCCTACCGATTGACCACACCGTGGCCGGCCCAGTTTAGCCCGACTTCGGGTCCACCATCCCGCCCCATCTGGCCTCCTCTGGACTCGGGTCCACCCAGCCCTCTGGGTTAGCAAGCTCAGCTCCTCCTCCTCCTCTGGCCCAATCGGCCATGGTTCTTCTCCGTCGGGCCCAATCGGCCACGTCTCTCCTTTGTACCCCCACCATCTTCTGTTTCCCCCGGGCCTTGTCATGGGCCGGGTTCGTCGGCGTCGGCAGCAAACTCAGTCCGTTGAAAATCGCTGCTGGAGCGCTCCTCGCGCCTTGATTTCCCGGCTACCCGACGCGGCTACGCAGCATGGATGAGCTCCCCGGCGCACCACCCGTCGCGGTCAAGACTCGTGCCGCCCCAGCCTCGCCACCGCCGCCCGACGGCTTTTTCTCCGCCTCCTCCTCCTCCCGGCGCTCCACCGCCGCCGTGCGCCCAGCTCCCGCGCCGCCGCGAGGCAGCTCCTCCTTGCTCGCGGTCGTTGCCTCCCTTCTGGGCCGCCGCCCGCGCTGCGGCTGGTGCTGCCAGTGTCGCCCCATGACAGTGCTCGCCGGCGGCTCCCGGTTCCTCAAAACCTGGGTTAGCACCTCCTGCATCGTCGCTGCTAAGGCTCCGCAAATGTTTTCAGTCACGCTCTTGCCCATCTCTTCGATGGAAGCCTTGTTCTGGTCGCCCATAGCTTCGATTGCCCCGATCGAGCCCTTCGAGGCCTCAGCTGCCCTCACAGTAACCTCCGTCAGGCTCTCCAACGATGCTGTCATGGCGTCATATTTGCTCGTCGTCACATCCTTGACCGTCACAACCTCCTTGTTCTGGCGCGACGGCGGCTGCTTGTCCGTAGGGTTCGACATCTTCAGAGTGCAGTGTTTCTTCAGAGAATCGGCACACCAACCAGGCTCTGATACCACTGAAAGAGCACAGATCTAGGTGTGCGATTGGGGATCGTGATTGATATGAGAATTAGGGATTTGGGTGAGGTAGAATTTGGGAATTAGTGTTAAGAAAAGAGGATCCCGGTCACCGGGGAGGTGGACGACAGGTTGGAGAGGGAGAGAGGGGGCTCGACAATGAGAGAGGGAGAGAGAGTGAGTAGGGAATAATTCTGTTGTTATTGCTTAACCCTAACTTAGGCCTAACACAAAATATATATAAATTGACTAATTCCCTATATCTACCCAAAGACTTAACCTAACCGATTTAACCCCAATAATTCCTGAAATAGCCGACATAACATAAAACGTCTAAATAACAAATAAACCCCAATTAATGACTATCTAATAGTTTATCTCTATTAAAAAAGAGAGATAAATAAGACAACTTTTTTTCTGCTAAATTTTGCATGTTTCGAAGGTGGATCCTAATCTACCTTCACTTTCATTTGATCGAACAAATTTCGTTAGATAAAATGAAGAAGACATGTAAAAAAGGAAAACATAGGGGTAGAGTCCATATTTATCTTGCAACAACCAAATTACATGTGAGAGAAATGTTGAAGAAAAAGAGAGGAAAATGTACAATAACCATTTGTGTTCAAATTCCTCTCGAAGGAATTCAATCTTTTTCATAGAATGAATTGCTCCATAAGAATTAGGAGAGGTTCAACTGTCTTTTAATCAATGATGCGTATGTATATTAGCTATAAACAAGTAGCAATGCATAAATTATGCTTGCCCAAAAAAAACTAGGTCAATCCAATAACAATAACAAGAGAGAAGGGTTTGTTGTCCATATAAGTCTTGAGCCTAAGGGGAAAACAAGGGTTTGAGCATTGATCTCTATGTGGACCACAACCATCTCGAAATTTAACTCAACATTCTCAAATATGATTTAAGGTATATTTCAAGTATTTGCCTCAAGAAACATACCCAACCTCTAGTTCCAATGTTTTTCTCTCTTTATGCCATTGTAAGATAAGTTTATGGAGCGAGAAACAATCATATTTTCAAATTGAATAATTTCTCCGATCAGGACAGAAGAGAATAGACTATGTCGATTATTGATCTTATATTTGTTTAACACTCGTTATCTTTCTATATTAATAGTTACACTTTGTTAAACAACTACTAGTTTCAGTACAAATTAAACTTCAACACATTATAAATACAATATCTATATATAAAGTTGTACAATATGTATTTTTTGCATGGTTTTTGAGAAATGACAGAGACCCAAGAGGCCGTGTGTGCGCATTACTGCAAATATTCCCTCTCCATAGGATTTGAGGAAGACAAGAGAGAGATAGAAATATAAGTTTGTTTCTTCAACAGGACTTTGAGAAAATTCAAAAGAAAATGCAACTTTTGACAGGCAGCTAGGGCTATTGCTATGGATAGAAAAAGAGGGGTTGGAAGAAGGTTGAAAAAAGGATGTACAAACAAACAAGGTCCTAATGAATAAAGAAGGCAAAAGAGATGCAAAGGTACCAAGTGGAGGTAAGCCCAGGCCAACACAACAGTCATAGATGGATAGATATTGTGCTTCTGATACCCCACAAGAACAAAGGAACTGAAGAAAAGAAGTGAAAAAATGAAAGTAGGTTGAGGGGGGAAATCAGCTTTATAGGGCATAAGTGCATGAGGAGGACAAATGAATGTGACTGAACTCCATTCACTAGAAAAGGAAAGAAAAAAGATTGAAATCTCAACAAAGATGTTCCAGCTCTCGTAACATTTTCATTGCACGTTCAATTATTATACGTTGAATTTTGAGCAGCTAGCCTTAGATCTATACTTCTTTGTCCAGCTGCTTGCATATTGTTACTACTTCGAGCAAAGATATGGTCGGGGAAAGTGATCAAGTAAGTAAAAGAAGGGAAAGGAAAGGGTGAATTGCTCGATGGGGGGCAGTGACAAGACAGAGATCGGCTGGGTAATTAGAGGAAGCTTTTCCCCTTAATCTTCGTCTGTCTTTTGGCGGTGGAAGTGGGAGTGGAGAGAATAATCATTCATTCATGTCAACAACAACATTAATGCCATAGTCACTATAGATCTCTCCCATCATATTATTAATAGTTCTCTAATGCATGCTATTAGCTCATGAAAGCTAAAAGCCAACGAGGGTTCAAAGCAAAATGCAGGACTAGTAGTAGTAGTAGTATCAATGATGGAGGAAGCATATTCACTTTCCTCTTTGTCACCACTTTCCATAGCATGATTAGAATCATAGTTTTTTATTAAAAAAAAAAAAAGAAAGACAAATCCTTCTCTTCTTCCAATCCAAACATGCCCTCTCACTCTCTTCTTTTCCACCAAAAGTGGTGTTAATTTTGCTAAGTTTTAGCTTTGTGATTTGATTTGATACCCATCCCACATACGACCAATTTACACCAAGACAAAAACGACTTGCTTCCCAAGGCTTCTCTCTACAGTTTACACTATTTTTCTTCCCTATATATACACTTGCCCCTACCTTCACAGTTATTAATTAAACTATAACTGAGTCCACATAAATCCACCTTGCCCATACCCCTTTGATCCAATCATGAATAATTAATCTTTGTATCATTTGCTGGTAATAAAATCTCTCTAAAAAATTTAAGTTATTGGGACCAATTGATCAGCCCTGATACATTATCATAATTTTTTTTATTATTCAAAAAAAAAATTTATGACAATGTATCAGGGCTGATTTGTCTTTGAGGTCAAGTGTTCAAATTCTTACGACCATCAATACTAACCATTGTCTTAATTCTTAAAGCACATGGTATGGAGAGTCTAGCTTGTGCAAACTTCAAGCACATGAGTTGGCTTTCGTTTAAAAAATGTGTAAGGGAAAGTGGTTAAGTATTATACATGAACATCTTTCAACAACTCGAGTTATCATAACCAGTTGGTTAATGGCATTGCTCGAGCAAGCTATATAGTTCTTCAAGCTCATCTTCATCTTTGGGGATGGTTATGTTTTTTTTTCTTATGTTCTTGTTTTTTTTTTAAATATTTTCGTATGGCCTGAAATTTGACCAAAATAAACATCCTGGCCAATCTTTTCGATCTATAACATCCTGGCCCGAACTATACACCAATATAAACAATTTGGCCAAACCCGATGTTTGACCGTTAACTTGGACGGTCAAACGCGTTGACTAACGGTCAATGCGCTACGTCACTGCGAAGTCAGAAGATCTGATAAATATTTAATTTATTTTTTGTTTTTTATTTTGGTTTAACTAAGGTATTAGATGATTTTTTTAATTTATAATAATTTACAATTAGGGAATGTGTGGAATTGTGAATTATTTTAAATATTTTATGCTGACTTGGCAGTGACATGGCGCGTTGACTAACGGTCAACGCGTTTGACCGTCCAAGTTAAAGGTCAAAAGTCGGATCTGGCCAAATTGTTTATTTTGGTGTATAGTTCGGGCCAGGATGTTATAGATCGAAAAGATTGGCCAGGATGTTTATTTTGGTCAAACTTCAGGCTATACGAAAATACTAACCCTAATTTAAAATTAGGGAATGTGTGAAAATTGTGAATTATTTTAAATATTTTATGCTGACTTGGCAGTGACATGGTGCGTTGACTAACGGTCAACGCGTTTGACCTTCAAAGTTAACGGTCAAAAGTCGGATCTGACCAAATTGTTTATTTTGGTGTATAGTTCGGGCCAGGATATTATAGATCGAAAAGATTGGCCATAATATTTATTTTGGTCAAAATTCAGGCCATACGAAAATATTAACTTTTTTTTTTCGATTCAAGTTTATTTGAACTCGAGTTAGGAGGAATATGTCCATTATGACTTGAATCGCATGCCAAATACTTAGTGGTCAACTACAATTGTACCCAATTTCACGTCACTGTATGATATAACGATTGTAACGAGTGGGTGATTGAACGAAACAAGAAGCAGGCACAAAACAAACTTCACAGTTCACTTACATGAGAAGGATAGACGACAAGCGCCTAATCGTGGCATGGTTCAAGTTGGAACAAAATCGGGCTTAAACAACAAGGTCTGTGGATGCTAGATCATCACTTGCTTGGCCCAATTTCGGAGTGGCCCAGGCCAAGCTATATGGGCCACAGCGGTGTGTATCCCAGTAAGCCATGTTTCTGATTTTGGACAACACAAACATATGCACAACAAATTCTACAGTAGTATACTTAGAGCTTTAAGCCGTTAATAAAGATCATCATCCCCAAAGTCCTTTCCGTTACATATAAACTTCCATCCCAAGAAACTTGGACGACTGACACAGAGGACAAAAGCTAAGCTTACCCTCGCACTCTTTACACAAGCACAGATGCTTACACGGCAACAAAAGCATGCACACCTCATTCACTCTGCAAACCTTACACGTCGTCAGATCTTTCATGTCCTTGTTCTCCTTGAACAGCATTTGGAAATCGATTCCGCCGCCACCACTGCGATCGTTACAGCAGGAAGCCGTGTCGTCCACCACACCATTGTCCCCGCACCCTTCTTCCTTGCTCTGATCCCTGCTCCGAGCATAGACCCGCTGGAGATTCAACTTGAGGGCATTTATTAGGTTTTCGTTCAACCTTGCTCGATGCTCCCATGCCCCTGCTTCGGCAGATATCTGCTCCATTTTGTCCTCAAGTTCCCAATTCTTCTTGTTGATGAGTTCAACCTCGTTCTCTTTTTCTCGGAGTTTCTGGATAATTTTGTTTTCCAGTAATGACATGGTCTGGAGTTGGTCTGCCTGAACCTTGTCTAGGATGTTTTGCCCCAATCGATCTCCCTACATAAAGAAAAAATACATAGCGAAGTCAATACCGACATGTAGAGGGAAAAAACCCCAACACTCTGAGTGAAGGTTTAGTTAGTTGCTAGAACATCAGCTTCAGCATCAAATACAGGATTCCAAAATCATGAGGAGAAGAGAGGAGGGAATCAGCAAATAGTACATTATCCAAACAAACAAGCAAACTGACAAACAGAGATTTCGTCACAAATAAAACCAGGAAGGTTTAACTCACTCCACAACATCAGCATTGAGGGAACTTTAGATACAGCCCCTTGCATCTCAATGCATACAGAGCTTAGAGACCCATGCAAAATGTGAGAATCACTCCTAACAGACAATTTCCCAAGTTGGAAGTTACCCCAATTCATAGATAGCTGGCCCAGAACACAGTTACTTGACAAATATACTTTTCACCATGTGCAAGCTTGGTTATGTGGAATAAAATTTAATGCTAAATAACTTGGCAAAAACTAAGCAACAATGTTTAGGAAAAATCATGATCTTTGGAAGGCCAGGAATAGGGTTAAGACTAAAAACATACAAAAAGGGAAACAAAAAACATGACAGGCCATTCACAACGGAGCTACTTCCCCAGCCACACAGTAAAACGGCCAGCCAAGAATATCACTTGCAATCAATTCATATTTCCCTCCCATGCATATTAAGCTCCACGATCATTAGGCCTAGAATCAAGCTAGAATTATGGGAGGCTCATTAACTCGGTTTCAACAAATCTGACTTAAGCACTTTAAATCCAAACCTGAACTTTGAGGAATCTATCAATCTCCGCATCCTGCCGCTGTAACTCAAGATCGATGTCATCACCAATGAGCGACAACAGAACAGAGTCACTAGAAGATGAAGCACGATTGTTATCGAGGGATAACCCTAGTCCTGTTGAAACCGAACGAGCTTGCAGGAAGTCAAATGACGAAATCTGAGAATTATTCTCCAAAAAGTCCTGCTCCTTCAATCTTTTCCTCCTTGGTTCCAGCCCATAATTCCACTGTAAATCAATTCCCCCATCATTGCTGTCGTTCACAGGTCCAGGAGCAAATCCCACCACATGAACTGAAAGAAATGACAGAAAGAAATGTCATTTCAAGAGTTCAGAAAGCTGACGCACGAAGCCACTCTGGAGTCATATAACTTCCCAAAATTGACAGGCGATATCTTACAAGCAAATCGGAAGGCTAACCCTAAAAATAACAATTCCATGTATTCAAATGAAACAAATAAGCCTATCCATCAGGAAGGTAATCAAATTTGAATTCAATCCAATTAACCAAGTTCCTGAATGAAATTGCCGCCAAAATTGACGCACTAACAACAAAAGAGAAGCCTTATTTTGCAAAAGGAGAACTCACAGGGAGGAGGAATGTACGGAGGATGATGAGACTGGTCTTGAAAATCGGGAGGGTTGTAAAAACCCACCGGCAGCGAGACCTGGCCGTCAAGTACGTACATATTTCTGAAGACGATAAAAAATCAAAGGAGAGGAGCTGATGAGATCGAGATTGAGCTCCATGAATTGTTAAAATTTTGGGGGAAATGAAGTTTTAGGGTTTCTAGAATGAGCGAGAAATTATTGGAATTCGGCTTTCATACCTCAAGTCTTTCGATTGCTGCTGCAGCTGTTGTTGTTGCGCTGAAGATTGGTACTGTTGCTGAAAATGGTGCTGTGGAAACGCCATTGATTACGAGGATTATGAAGACGAAACACCGGAGGCACGACGGGGAGAGAAGAGAGAGAAAATGGGCTCCGCGCCAGGCAAAGGGTAGACGGTGGTCGAATGCCGATGGATGGATGGAGAGATTCTTTTTTTGTATTTGCTCGAAGGTCCCTTAATTCTTCAACAATCACATTTTTTTTGTGTACTCAATTAGTAAATCTTGGCTGGATTAATTAACAAATTCGGCGGACTTCCTTAGTTAGACTTTGGGCTTGGCCTTTTCTATTCGAGACTCTTGTTACTGTCCATTGTAAAACAGAACCCACTAGAAGCCCACGAAACGGGAAGCAACCCATCTCAGCCTGTTTGGAATTCTCGAGTCGAGAGTGGACTCTTCTATTCTCCAAGGTGACCACTTGCTCCCGAACGAGATGACGTTGTTCTTTAGGGGTGGTTATACGGTCCGTTTAAATTGACCCGAATTGATTCGATCCCGGTCTATTCGGGAATATAAGGACCAAAGATTGGATTGAATACAGTCCGGTCTAGATCCGGTCCAGTCCTAGTTCGGTCTTGATTTTAGATTGAGCTTGTAGAAATTTGAGTGGCCTGAAACCTCAAAAAGGTGAGGAGTTAGTTAAGTTTTGAGTGTTGGGTCGAATTTGTTGCATAACTTGTGTTATGGCCTCCGGATTGATAGCAGGCAGATGCTCTCATAACAGACCAAGCAATTGCTCACATTCAAGTTTTTTCTCTTCTGCTTGAGATATTTCTTGTGGAATAAGCGAGAGTCTTAGAGCAAGATCCATAGCTAAACAAAGCTTTTTCTTGCTTACTTCAATGTCCACCTTTGCTACGGCTACATTTTCTAACTTATAGGTGAAGGAGGCCATTCTTAAAGCTTTTATTATTTCTTTCTAAGTCAGATTATAGTCTTCATTAAATCATTTTAACCCTGGTTTTTTATTAATATTGAACCTTGTGAATTCCATTTCCAATTCCAATTGGAATTGTTGGATTTGGAAATGAGTTAAATGTACAAATACGAGTTTTTCCCTTTCAAATTCAATTACGAGTTTTTCCTAAATAATCCTCTCAATTATTTTCTAAACTATTTTAGAAATTGATCTACCTATTTTATTTAGTTCTACGTAAAATTTCCGTTAACATGCATGTGAAATGATCAAAATGTCCTTCACTAATATAACTCCTAAACTGTGAGTTTTTCCCTACAAAAACACCTACTCCATTTTTTCTTGAAGAAGCCCCTAAACTTCTAAGATTTTCCTAACCCCACCCTTTTATGCTAATTTGTGATTATATTTCATAAACTTGCATTGAATTGTGAATAAACTTCTAAGATTTTCCATAAAAATGTGTGTTGCTTTTTTATATTAAAAATAAAGGGTAAAAGTGGCATTTCACTCATAAAGTAATCTAATTTATTTAGAACTATAATAACTATCACATAAACCAAATGATGTAAACTACAATACACCAATTTTCATATATACATGTATATTATTATGCATGCATTGATGACAACACATCAATTTAACTATAACGAAAACCAAACGACCTAGGGGTCGTTTGGATGGAACATTTGTAAAATGAGGCAATCTAGAGTAAATGTCTCATTTTAGAAAATGAGGCAATTCTATGAGAAATTTGTTCAGAATTGACTTGTTTGGATTGTAATTTGTAATGAGACAATTGGAATAATAAATTTTCTGAAAATACCCTTTTGTCCCCATATTACCCCCTCTTTCTCCATCTTCCCCTCTTGCTCTCTTTGTAACTAGAAGCCCGCAATCTATAAACCAACAAAATGAAGACTCAACATCACAATGGGCAATCAACAATGGAAAAACTCCTTATCATAAATTGAAGTGTCCAATTAGAACACTAATAGATCACATTTAAGTGTCCATTCCCTTTGATTTCTCTTCACGGAGACAGTAAACAAGTTACAGGAAGATTTTATGCTCCTCCGTCAACGACATCCTCTTGGCATTTGAGGCTGATTTTGTTGAGCCGCTTTAATTGCTGCATTTGTCAGAAAGGGAGTAGCTTCCCTTCGAAGAAGAGCTCGTTGGCCTTCAGCATCTTTGCATGCCCCGCCGTCGGCCCGCTGATGGACAGGAACTCAAATTGAAGATCCGTGGCGACCGAGGCATTTCGAATCGGAGACAACGAGAGGGCAGGCTTCTGATTTTTTGTTTCTTTGTTGGGGCAGGGTTGTTGGTGGTGGTTGGGACGGATGAAGATGAAGTTGTTCTCGTCGAGGAACTCGACGGAGAATGAGATTCTCGAGCTTGATGTTTGGGGGTGGATCAATTCCCTGTTGGTCGAACTGTCAAAGAGAAAGAGAAAAAAGAGAGGAGAGACGGTCATGCGTCTGCCGGAGAGAAAGAGGGGAAAGAGAGGAGAGGTTCTCCATCTGCCGAAGAGAGAGAGGAAAGAGAGGAGAGAGGAGGAAAAGACAAAAAGGACAGAACTGGAAGGAATGAATGAAAAACGCGTCATTTTCCTTTACCTGCCCACCACCCAAGTATTTTGAATTGACGCCTAATGGATCAATTGCAATTGATCCGGCCCAAATTGCTTCATATTACTTTTTCATTGCCAAACGAAACAATTTGCTTCAATTGTCTCATTTTGAGGGAATTGGAGTAGATTGCCTCATCACTTTGATCCATCCAAACGACCCCCTAGTTTTTATGTGAATTTTGGATACGAAGATAAGAATGTTTTATCCCTTCCCCACCCGGTCAATACAAGGAACATTGCAACAATTAGAAATGTGTTATCTATGATTATGACAACAACAAAAATCTGTATAACTTTCGTAGAGCCTCCAGCCACTTACGCGAACCCAACTAGTGGTCTATGACTCTATGTCGAGATGGAGACAAGAAGAAGGGGAGAGCGGATAAGGTCAATATGCATAATCCAATCACCATCCGCCACATCAACACCCTTTCTCTCTACAGAAAAGCTTTTAAGTCTCCCCCAAATCTTTAACGGACGATTTTTCACTCGTTTTAAGTCGAAATTAATTTTTTGCATAGCTAGATTAGATTAATTGTGCTTTTCAATATGATATCCACTTTGATATATTTTTGGAACAAAAAAATTAAACTTTTTTTACCATTTTATACCATATGGTATTTGACTCACATTGATATTAGAGCATACCTATGGTATGAAAAGCGTACAATGGTGGTATGAACAAACCGAAACTATAGGATGATTGAATACATGATAGTAGAAGTATATTAACTGTCATTTACGACTTTTAACATTGTACACCACAAGATACCACCTCGTACCAGGGTGGTATTGTGTGGTATTTTTCGGTCATGTATTTTGTTCACCTATAAATTTGTAGATCCAATAAATCATGATGAACTCTGTGCAAAAAATTTCAAAAACGAATTAAAAACGAAGAAGATATCATATGATATGTAGTTGGTACCGAGAGGCAATTAACTTTTTTTTTCTCAAAAAATATTGAAAATGGATCTCAATATGTAGAGTACAACGAACTCGTTCCATTTGTGCAAAAAAAATTGAAATCCGAGTTAAAACGAAGAAGATATGAGCCGATTAAAAAAAACAAGGGAAAATAAAAATATTTTTAATTCTCCACCCTTAGATCTGGATTTTCTGAATGAAGGGTCCTGATTTAGTTACGGATGAGTGCATAACCCATGGTTATACTCTGTATCTTGAGCCGAAGAAGGAGGTTAGGCCCCTATGTGATGTAATAAGGGGTCATCTATAGGTGTTATAGGGAAAAAGCGTTTCATCTCAAATAAGTTAAATGAAGGTCGTTCCGATAATTTTCATTCATATTAACGAGGATTTAACAGCAAATTGACGGTACGTTTAAGAAAAAAGTTTGAAGTTTATGGCCTTCTACGAGAAAAAAAATAAAATTGAGAACTTTAATTAAAAAAATCTCATTGTTCAAGGGATATATTGAAGTATAACACCTCGATCATTTTCCGTGGATGTTAATGGCTATTTCATACAGAACTATAAAAAAAAGGTTGGATTAGAAAAAATTTGTAAGTTAAGGAATGTGTTCAAAACGATATTAAGTGATTTAATTGGAGAAAATTTCATAGGTCAAGAGGCGTTTGTGCATACTTAAATCGGACCATATTTTTTTGTAAAAAATTCACAATAAGGTTAGAGATTATATGGGGATGAGAGTATCCTTCATGTCATTGATTAGAATTTTGAGACCAACAAGCAAGAAAATAAAAACTCAAAAAGTAGCATTATGAAAGGTTATTTCTTTGTCTCCGACGTCATATCGTTTTTTTTTCTTTCCTAAATTGATTCTAGAGTGTAATCCTAAATTCTCGATCTTTCCGCCAATCAAATGTGATTATTTTTTGTAAGAAAATAAAAGTTGCATTATGATTAGCAAGACGTTTACATGACGAGCCATTATTTCAGGGTTCCATAGAACGTGATATCCAGTCCAGTCCCAAAACCAATAATGAGGGTTCAAGATAATTAACTGCTCCTTAGAAAAACACAGAATTAATCCGCAAAATGACACCCATTGGATACGCCACGTGAAGGCAAAATTTAATTCTCCGTTATCCCATGTTGTCCGCCGCTAACATGTCTCTCGCCATCACCCACCAGCCTTGAACTCACCCAGAGGCATTGAATTCAGAGACAGAACACACAAAAAACAGAGCATCTTAAACGAATTTCTTTAAACCAAGGTAGGAACTTCATGACTCTGAATTGAAAATTATTATTCTTTTAAGTAAAACAACAATAACTTGTCACCGCCGAACTGCAGAGGCAGCTTGGCGATAATTAAGGCAGTCAATCCGGCCACAATCCATGTGACTTTCAATTCACTCTCACACTCTCTTCCTCTTTATTACTTCTCACCAATCCCCCCACACAAATCAACCCTCCTTCCCATTCCCATGGCTTCTTCAATCCTTCCTCTCCTTCTACTCTTCCTCAGCCTCTCCTCAATGTCACTGATCAGTAACGCCAACAAAGTAATAGTGATGGACGCTATGCAATGGCAGCAACCCTCCTCCTCATCGGCAGCAATGTCTCTCTACGACGGTGACGGAGACGATGAAAGTGACGAAGGGTTTGGCGAGGAGAGGAGATCTCTGTACTGGAGCTCCGGCGGAGGAGGAAGTCGGTACCACATATCGTATGGGGCGCTGTCGGCGAACAGAGTCCCCTGCCCACCGCGCTCTGGAAGGTCTTACTATACCAATAACTGTCATACCACGAAGCAGCCTGCCAACCCTTATCAGCGCGGCTGCTCTTGCATCGTCCACTGCAGGAGATAGCTTCTATTGGCTAGCTGTCTTTTTTGCTTTAACCTTGTTAATTTTAGCTTCCATGATAACTGCTGCACTACTGTGCAGTTTGGTTAATTTTTCTCTGGTGACGCTGAATGTGTTCGTTCCTTTTGCTGCTCTTGAATCTGTATTTGTAGCTCGATAGGGTAGACAGTGATTGGTGGCTAATTTGAGATTGGATATCATGAATGCAGAGCTTGCACCTAATTGTTGGTTGGTGCAATTGAAAGTATTTTTAAGGCAAATTCTAAGCTGGCTTCTTCTTCATAGGCAGGTAGCCAGGTACCAACCCAAGTTGTTCTCCATATTAATTTAAGGACGTTATTTACCTGCAACCAAGTTTGCAGGCTCCTCCTACAATCTCTACAGGTGGAGGCATACTATTTGTTGGGTTTATTTTATTTCATCTTTTTTTAATTTGCAGTTAAATGGTTAACGGAAGCGGCTAGCTTTCCACAGCAGAGTTCTCTATCTACGCTCCTCTTTTCCCCCTTCTTTACTTATGGTTATTTCTTTTTGACATGTTTCAAACTAGCATGCATATAGAGGTGAAAAAAGAAAACCAGAAATCAACCTAATTGTTCAATTCAACCCTATCCATCCATAATATTTGAGAAATCAAATTTTATGGTTGTGTGGCAACCGCCTCGAAATTGGGGGATCGTCGCGAATTGTTCGTAGTTGTCATCGATCTTAATTGTGGTTGATCGAACATCTTTTTGTTTGATCTCAACCTTAGGATCAAAACCGAGATGTGGTCTACAAAATTAAAGATTCTAGGTTAGGGAGTACGATTACGTGTGGGAAAGTGTATTCACACCCCACAACGCCCAAAAAATAGTACTAATTAAATCGATAAGTTTTAATGTGCATTATAATTTGTGCTTTATCTACGTATTTAATTATATGATATAATTAATTAGGTATTTATTAATATACAAGTTGATCATAGTCCACGTATTTCGATTTAAAAAAAGGTGTGATTTGAAGTGTTAACGCTTACATGTTAAAATTGTTGAGAATATTTGTTAGTCGGACTTGAACCAATTGGTTATCTACGTACCCGAGTAGTCGGGATCAAAGTCCACGTACTTCGGTTCACTTTCTTTTAAAGTGATCTTGCCATGTTTTATTGATGGTAATTAAGATATTAATTGCAAATAAAAAAGAAAAGCGACTTTCGTTAACATTTAATTGCAAACAAAAAAAGAAAGGAACTCAACAAATAGTATACCTCCACCTGCAGAGGTTGTAGGCGGAGCCTGCAAACTTGGTTGCAGGTAAATATCGTCCTTAATTTAATGACAACTATTCCTGCATTATTTTTGAAAGTTCTAGTTTACAGAGCTCATCCAATTCAACATCATGGCTCATTGGAACGGTTCGGGCCTAGCTAAGGCTCAAATTTGGGCCCAATTGGGTTTTATCCTCATCTTTCAACTCAAGAAATTTCTTCAAATTACGACAATTTGACAATGAATTTAAAAATAACAATTTCGATCATATTCGTTTGATTCGATTTGGTTAATTTGTGTTGAGCGAGTAATCTGGTTCGTAAGTGAGAGGCAGACTTGGGTATTCTCCTCGACCTATCGTGCTCTGTCTCATTTCATTCTCATCCGATTTTGTTTAAATTGCATGTAATGTTTTACTCAAATTACTTAGGATTTTACTTTATTAATTAGCTCATATATTAGATATAATTAAGTTTTAAATAAGTTAGAACCTCAACCTCTCAAATAATTTAACAACCATTAGTATATTATAGTTTGTTTATTGGCTTTCTAATGAAAAATGAACATTCCTAAAAAATTTCTTTTAAATTACATATCCATATGGTTTGACATGCCCAATCAGAGCCATGTAATAAATTATACGACCTACCACGATATCTATACCCCGCTTTGGACCTGTCTCAATGCCATTGTTACTCATGGAAACCTTCGAGTAAATACTACAAATGAAAAAAAGATGATATGAGTGTTATCTTGATGTCGGATATTAATTTAACGCTGCGTATATCATAAAAATAGAAATTCAAGCAAAATATTAGTAGTCATGTTTGTTATGAGACAATCCAAGTACCATATTGGTAATACAAGGGAAGGAACCCTTGTATATTAGTGTCCACCAAGCCCAACTGGTACGAGGCCTTTTGAGAAGGATACCCAAGAATAAAATCATCCGAGCTTCGCCCAAAGCGGGCAATATCGTACTAATTGAGTTGCCCGGTTACGACAAGTGGTATCAGAACCTGGTTCGGTTCGGGACGGTGGGCGTAAGTTTGGTGGGACCCTCATTCGGTGACCTCAGGATTTGAGATCTGCGTCTGGTTTGGTGAATCCACGAGAGATCCATGTATGTTTGGCGTATCAAAGAGAGTTCCGAGTATAGGAAAAATCCTTGTACCGAGAAGCCCATCGGTACAAGGTGTCTGGCGAATCAAGATAATCGCTGAGGAGAGGACACGATGTTCGCGGTTTTTGCCTTGAGGGGAGGACTGTTAGGGTACAATCCGAGTTTCGCATCGGTAATACAAGGGAAAGAACCCTTGTATATAAGTGTCCACCTAGTCCAATTAGTACGAGGCCTTTTGGGGAGGATACCCAAAAGTAAATCCGTGCAGGCTTGACCCAAAACGAATAATATAGTACAAATTGAGCTACTCAGTTTCGACAATGTTGTTCCTCAATGTCATTTTATCTACTTAAGAAAGTGTTTGTACCTACTAGCTCGAGGTATGAACAATAATGATTGTTGTGTGGGTCGACTCGACTTTCGTTCGTCTGATCTCGTCGGGAGGGAACAAACCTGTGAAAAGTGCCGGAGTTGTCCCCCGGATTAAGCTCCGACGATCAAGTTAGTGTATGTTTGTGGAGAGAGTTGAGAGAATAGATAGAGAGATAAAGTGTAGAGAGATAGTAGAAAGTAGAAAGTGAGGAGAGAGAAGAAGTCCCCCTCTTTGGAGGGCTTCAAGACCTTATATACCTGTAGCGGGTACCGAGTGTTGTCATTGCCGATTGTGCGCTCTACTACTTAGTCTGTGCACGAAGTATTTAGTAACACCCCTAACAATTGCCCCCCAAGCTGGTGGTGAGTTTTAACTCATCGCTAGCTTATATATATATTTTTTAAATCTTCGTCGGTAATTTTGGGTGGAGCCCTATGTACCCCAGTTGCCCCCCAGCTGGTGGCGCGTTTGATTGACGCGGTGCCAGCTTCTTGCGTCTTGCCCCCCAGGTGGTGTATTCCATTAAGGCGTGTAGTCCCCCATTAGTGCCATTAACGCTCAGGAAAGTAAAATATTTCAATATTTAATAATGATAGAGGGACAGAGTACTTAGCTTTGTGTTGGCGAAGCGGCTCGAAGAGTTGTTAAAATAAGAGTGTTGCGTATGAGGCTCACAAGGCGCGTGTGCAGCCTACTGGTGATGTTACTTGTCTGGCGGAGGAAGGACGCGAGTTCAATTCCTGGCGTCGACAATAATACTTTTGACGCGGGTAGTGAGACCAAGTTGGACTTGGCGCGGTTGCCTTGTGGGTCGGGGCATGACGCGGAGCGGATCGGGCGACTTCGTTGGAGGGCCGCGAGCTGATGGTCCCGAGACGCTTTAGTGGTGAAGAGTGAGCCTTAGCTAGCATTATGTTCGCGCAGTGGCGGCAAAGAGTAATAAATTCAAGTGTCGCGCATTTGATGCGTAAGCTTTTGATGTAGCGCATTGGTATGAATGCTGATGTTGTGAACTCAGGGGCACGAGTTCTAATCTTCCCAACCCCGCTTTTTTGTTGACTTAATGGTCGCAGTTCTGTGGCGGGCTGAGAGCCGCTAATGGGCCCATGCGCGTGAGGAGCGGCGTGGATCGCAATCCGGGACCTGGGCCGCGAGATGGAGTTAGGCGGGGGCCTGGGCCGCGCGAGTGTGGGCTGGCACGATGAAAATGGATACGGGTGACTCAGGAGAGTAGCGGCTGGGCTCTCCTCTCTGTCATCATTATTATTATTAGGCCAATGCTATGGTGCCGCTGTAAAAAATGCGGCACCGGTGCAGCCAATTTCTATTGGGCCATGCTGTCATTAGCAAGCTGATGTGGCATTAAATAAAAACCCAGTCGAAACCGTCGCCAATCAGCCGAGAGTCGGAGAACAACCAGTCAACCACCAAACCGCGGAAGTTTTATTTTTTATTTTTTTCTCCCTCGGTAAATACTAAATACATTATTATATTTTACGATACTCCTACCGCGACTTTCGTGATTTCGCCGGCGCTGGGCCCTGCCACTGCTTCGCCGGCAACTGGGACTATCACTGTGGCCGTGTCCGATTCACCCGCACCGTCGGCCCCATACATACACGTATGAACGAAATTGACTCGGTCTATGCATTTGTGTTGTAATTTCTTCATTATTCAACAATATTAATTATGTTAATTATCTTTTGCGGAAGGTTTTGTGAAAGGATCGGTTGAGCTTTTCAGTTTTACTTTTCACATTGTCGTGGTTAATTTGTTAAGTGCATGATTAAGGCTAAGTCAACCATTTTACTCTTTTTCGCCTTTTGTGAGTTTAGGTTATTTCATGGCTTAAGAAGGTGATGCTTAGTGTTCGTGAATTCTGAGAATGCAATTTTGCTGCGCTGAAGAGAAGTGCAGGCGATTGGACCCGGTGCCGCTGAGCCTTCGCGGATGGAATCGTATAGGGGAAAACAATAGAAGCCTCTTCCGGCATTGTTGAATCACCCGGCACTTAAGCCTCCTGCCTCCGGAGTCGCAGTTTGACTCTCAGTTGCCGGCGAAGCAGCGGCAGGGCCCAGCGCTGGCGAAATCATGGGAGTATCGTAACAACTAACATGTAAATCTATTTACCGAGAGAGAGAAAATAAAAAGAAATAAACAAATTCCTGGTTCGGTGGTTGTACTTGTGCCAGTTAATTGGCAACGGGTTTTCGGCTAGGTTCTTAGAAATTCTACTAATGCCACGTCAGCTTCCTAATGACAACGTGGACCAATAGAATTTGGCTGCACCGGTGCCGCATTTTTTATCGCGGCACCCTAGCATTGGCCTTATTATTATTATTTTTTCGTCGAACTGAGTGGGCGCGAATAGTTCATTACTATTGCTATTTTTTGTTCCGTGGAATTGAGTGAGCCCGAATAGTTCGTGACTATTGCTGTTTTTTGTTCCGTGGAACTGAGTGGGCGCGAATAGTTCGTGACTATTGCTGTTTTTTGTTCCGTGGAACTGAGTGGGCGCGAATAGTTCGTGACTATTGCGACTTTTTGTTCCATGGAACTGAGTGGGCGCGAATAGTTCATGACTATTGC